GGGAGGCCGGGGGGAAGGGCGGAGGTGGGGGGGCCCAGGGACGAGTCCGCGGACCCCGCTCGCATCCCGCTTCCCTCCTTCCCGGCCTCCCCGACCCTCCGGCGGGGGCGCGAGCCGGGCCAAGGTGGGGAGGAAGGGGAAGGGAGGAGGCGGCCCCCGCCCCCCCGCCCCCCCCAACCTGGCCCGGAGCCCAGGCCCGGGCTCCCAGCATGCCCCGGGGCTGCCGGGGGCCTGGGGAGGGGGTGCGAGCCGAGGGAAGCCGAGCGTCCTCAGGGTTCGCGGGGCCGCAGCATCGCCCTGCGGCTTCGGCTCGTCTCTCCTGGGGAAACCGAGGCCCGCAGAGAGGGGAGGGCGGGGGGGTGGTCAGGACCCGCTCGAGGTCACCGCGCCGGGCCTCGGTGGAGACGCGGACTCCCGGGGCCCGCAGGCCCGACCCGGGGAAAGGGTTGGTGCGGGACTTCGCCCAGGTCTGGGCCCCCCTCCCCCTCCCCGCAGACCCTGGGGAGCCCCCAAGGGTCAGAGAGCAGACCCAAACAGTCTGGCACCATGGCAACCAGTGGCCCCGCCCCCTTAACCCCCAGAGGGCTGGACTCCAGCTGGGGCCAAAGAAGAGGAGGTGGGGACGCCTGGGTTCGCGGGAGGAAGGGTCTGGGGGCCCGAACTCTGGGGTTTCGTGGAGCATCGGGGGGCTGGAATGTGGACCCGCAGCCCCTCCCTCCCCGCCCAGGGCTGAGGGAAGAAGAGGCTGCAGGCCCAGACTCCAGGGTCCGGGGCTAAAAGAGGGGGGCTGGGGGTTCGGACGCTGGAATTCTGCGGGAGGGGTCGGGTAGCGGACGCACCGGTCTGAGGGAGGAGGGGGCCAGGGCCTGGAATCCCGGTCCCCAAGGGAGTCTGGACGCTGGGCCTCTCCTGCGCCAGACATCCCCTGCCCCCGCCGCTGACCCTGGCCTGTCTGGCAGCCCAGACAACCTCCCCCTCCTCGGCAGCCCCCTCCCACTGGCACGGCTCACCCTTGACCCCTCAGAGCCCCGCAGCCCCTTCCCTGCCCCTCCCCCGCCCCTCCAGCCAGACGTTAACCCTTCCGCGGCCAGAGGCACCTCAAGAGCCAGCCTCTCCCTCGAGCTCCCCTGAGGGCGCAGGAGGGCATCCCTCCCGAGTCTCCTCCGGCTCCGAGCCTCGCTAGCTACCCCAGCCCCGTCTCTCACCTCCCAGTGGAATCCAGGCGGTGCTCCTGGCCCGCTCCTCCTCCTGAACCCCGGAATCCAGGCCCCCCGATCCCCACCTCCAAGGATTCGGGACTCTGGGTCCCCAGCCCCCTCCTCCTCCTCCTCCAGGAACCCAGAAATCCAGGGACCCTGGATCCGGGCCCCAGGTCCCACGCCACTCCCTCTCGGGAGACTCACGGCTCCACCGCTCCCGCGTCGGGGGAAGGGTCTCGGCGGGCAGCCCCCCGGGGCTGGGCCGAGCCGGGCCCCGCTGCTGCCGCCGCCGCCGCCGCCAGCTCTCCATCCACTCCCTCTCGGGAGACTCACGGCTCCACCGCTCCCGCGTCGGGGTAAGGGTCTCGGCTGGCAGCCCCCCGGGGCTGGGCCGAGCCGGGCCCCGCTGCTGCCGCCGCCGCCGCCGCCAGCTCTCCATCCTCTCCCCGCCTTCGCCGCCCGACGGCCTCTCCCCTTCCTCCCGGCGTCCCCGCCATCCTCCTTGCCTCCTCCCCGACTCCCGCTGGCCTGGGCCTCCTCCCGGTTCTGCGGGCCCGGCTCCCCTGCCTGGGACCCCGCTGGACCAGCCCCCTACCCAGGGGGCCCCCGCCCCGGCCCCTCCCCACCGCCCGGCCCAGTCCGGCCTGGCTTCCACCACCACCACCACCGGCTCCCCCCCGCCCCGCCCCTGCCCCGGAGCTGGCCCCGGTCCAGGGGAAAAAATTCCATCCAGCCCCGGGGAGGAGGGAGAGGGGCGGGGGAGGGAGTGGGGCGGGGAGGCCGGGCCGGGGAGCGTGACGCAGGGAGGGGGGAAGGGACAAAAGGGGCCGGGAGGCGGCGGGGCGAGCCGGCGGCGCTCCCGCTCCGCCCTCCCGCCCTCCTCCCTGGGCCGGGGCCGGTTCTCTGCTTTCCGCTTTCTTTCGTCCCCTCCACCTCTCCTCCCTTTCCTTCACTCTGCCTGCCTCCTCCTAGCCCTGTGCTCCCCCCAACCCCCCGCCCCCGTGTCTCCGTCTCCGCGTCTCTCTTTCTCCTTAAATCACGCACCCCCCCCCCCCAATCAGGGTCTTCTCTCCCCCGTCTGTCTCCCCCTTTCTGCTCTCCCAGCCTCCTTCCCCTCCCTCCGCTTCGGTCTCTCCAGCCACCCACCCACTGAGGGACAGAAAGGTGAATCAGACCCAGATCTGCCTTTGCAGACGGAGCTCACAGTCTGATGGAGGAGACAGACCCAGACGCAGACAGTTCCAATCCTGGGCGATCGGGGTATGACGAAGGGAGGGACCAGCGGCTTGTGGGAGCTCCGGGGTAGGGGGCAGGAATCCTTTCAGCTGGAGACAGCCGAAAGGGCCTCCAGACAAGGCGGTGGTTGTGACCTCCAAGAACTAGGAGAAGTTAGATCTGAATTGTGTGAGAGAGAGAGAGAAAAGCGGCCGTAAGGGCGTTGCAGGCGGAGGGCACGGCTGAAGCAGAGGCCCAAAGGAAACCAGGGGGCGATTCTGGGAGAAGGGCAGGCGGTCAAGTCTGATGGGAACTCCCGAGCCTGCAAGAGGAGGCTGAGGTGGTGGGCGGGGCCAGGTGCCCAGCGCTGGGCTGTCCGGGGGCGGGGGAACTTCCCCTTATGGGTGTCTGGGAGCAAAGGGAGGGGCAGGGTCAGATTTGGGGTGTCAGAGCGATCCCTCTGGGGCCTGTGGGGGATGAGTTGGGGAGAAAAGACTGCGGGAGGCTGGTGAGGCGGTTGCTTGATCCGAGGCTGGGACCCTGGGGACCCAGAGGAGGGGGCGGGGCAGAGAATGTGAGGAGGGTGATGAGGATGGAAGGGGTGAGGAAGATGCAACAATCAGAAGCCTGGCCCCAAGACTGCGGGGCACAGGAGTTGTTCTGAATGGGGAACCAGAGGGAGAAGGGGGTGCAGAAGAGGGCAGGTGCTGTGTGCCGATTGGGACCTAGCGGACATTAGGGGCCAGAGGACATATTGAGGACATACTGAGGCAGTGGTGAGTGTAAAGTCCTGGGGTCCCAGCAGTGAAAAATGCAGTCTCCTCCTGCCCTGTCCCTGGCCACCCACTCCTCTCTGGGGACAGCTCATGCTTACCAGTTTCTTTTGTATCTTTCCAGAAGAATTATATTCTTTTGTACTTGCATATGAAGAAGGCAATGGCAACCCACTCCAGTACTCTTGCCTGGAAAATCCCATGGACAGAGGAGCCTGGTAGGCTGCAGTCCATGGGGTCGCTAAGACATGACAGGCTCTATAGTATTCCATGGCTTCCCTGGTGGCTCAGTAGTGAAGAATCTGTCTGCCAATGTAGAAGATGTGGTTTGAGCCCTAGGTCAGGAAGATCACCTGGAGAAGGGAATGGCAACTCACTCCAGTATTCATGCCGGGGAAATCCCATGGACAGAGAAGCCTGGCAGGCTACAGTCCGCGTGGTCGTGCAGAGCTGCATACGAGTTAGTGATTAAACAGCAGTAGTATTCCATTGTATAAATTTATTCATCCATGTGTGCATGCTAAGTCGCTTCAGTCGTGTCTGACTCTTTGCGACCCCACGGACTGTAGCCCACCAGGCTCTTCTGTCCATGGGATTCTCCAGGCAAAAATACTGGAGTGGGTGGCATGGCCTCCTCCAGGGGATCTTCCTGATCCAGGGATCAAACTCTCATCTCTTATGTCTCTTTCATTGGCAGGTGGGTTCTTTACTAGTCGTGTCACTTGGCAAACCCTTATTCATCCATACTTGTTATCAACTAGGAGGGGTTTTTCACAGAAAGAAACTAATGCTTATGAATATGCAAATTACTGTTATTTTTAAAACTGATTTCTTCTACTGCTCTGAAGCCTCTGGACCCAGCTATTTGATAAATACTTCTAGGTTCTTTAAAGTTTGTCACTAATTACTAATGATAGGAATAATAACAAATGCCAATCCTTTCTCAAATGTCTACTTAAGGACAGCCTCTGGGCTGAGTACTTGTTACACATTATCTCAGTCAACTTTTTTGGGTTTTTTTGGCCACACCCTGCTACTTGTGGGATCTTAGTTCCCTCACCAGGGATCAAGTCCATGCCCCCTGCACTGGAAGCATGGAGTCTCAACCACTGGACCACCAGGGACTTCCCAGCAGCAGTCTTATTTTTAAGGATTGTTTTATCTCCATGTAAGGATGAGAGAACTGAGGTTCTGAACAGTGAGTTGCCCATGCTTACAAAGTGAATGGCAGAGCCAGGATTTGAACCCAGGCCTCTCTGGGTCCACGTTCTATGCTCTTTCTTTGGAGACGGGCTGCCTCTGTGAAAATGTCCAACTTGCCGGGGGTTGCTGTCCAGCAAGGTTAGACTTGTCATGCAGGTAGATTCACACTTGATTAAAGGATCTTTTGTCAGCCCCTGCACCTTACTTGGCATCCAGAATGACTGGCAGTCTCTTCTCATCTTCAGATGCCCTGCGTTCATATCAGGACGAAAACCACAGCACCCTGCTGTCTTGTCCTTGCCCTGATTCCCTTGTTTGGTGATTCTCGCCATCTGGGTCTGTCTCAGAGTTCACTGAAGGCGCCATGGAGATCTGAGTCATCTCGGCGTCCTCAGTATCACTCAGCACAGGGTGTGGCTCAGAGGAAGGGCTCGGGGAAAACCTTTGCCAAATGAATGAATGGAGAGATGGGTGAATAACAAGTGGTTGATGGGTTAGGCTGAGACTTGCCTAAGTTCTGGGATAAAAGAATTTAATTCCCGTTAGTTCCTGAAGCATAAGGCCTCTGTTACTATTTGTTAGTGACTCATAGGAAGCACTGTTTCCATTGTTCTTTGATATACAGAGTTCATAACTCCCTTGACACCTAATACTGAACTATTGCCATTTCCACACATCTCTAAAACTCAAGATCCACCGTTCATTCCCATCAGCCCCTGAGACTCAGAACCCACCATTCATTCCCATCAGCCCCTGGGACTCAGTGTCCACCACTCCCATCTATATTGACACACAGTACCACAGTTCTTGTCAGTCCTTGATACCCAATATCCATAATTTCTATCCTACTACAATACAGGGCGACCACCATTCCTATCAACTACTGAGATAGAAGTTCCACCTTTCCTATTATCCCTTTAGAAAGTGAAAGTGAAGTCTCTCAGTCGTGTCCGACTCTTTGCGACCCCGTGGACTGTAGCCTACCAGGCTCCTCCATCCATGGGATTCTCCAGGCAAGAGTACCGGAGTGGGTTGCCATTTCCTTCTCCAGGGGATCTTCCCAACCCAGGGATCGAACCCAGGTCTCCCACATTGTAGGCAGATGCCTTAACCTCTGAGCCACCAGGGAAGCCCATATCCCTTTAGAACAGCATGCCAGTGGAAAATACAAACTCCCTGCCCTTCACAAGGCTGTCTGCCATTCCCTGGAACAGAAACTGTGAGCCAGGAAGACACTTCAACCTGCCCTGAAGTCGGTCTGAATCAAGGACTCACTTATTAATGCTGTAGAAACAGGGACACGAAGGTTATGAAGAAATTATGAAGAACTTCCAAGTAGCAGAGGATCCTTCCATGGGAGGAATCAACCCCAAACCTGACATAATCCTATAGCACCATCAGAGAATGCTTCCAAACCCAAGACAGTGCCCCACAGCACCACTTAATCCCCACAGGTGGGATAATCCTCAGACAGCAGATCTCCCAAAATATTCATGCCAGATGATCCAAATGCAACAGATGCTCCCGTCATGCCATGGCTGCTGCTGCTGCTAAGTTGCTTCAGCCATGTCTGACTCTGTGTGACCCCATAGACAGCAGCCCACCAGGCTCCAGGCAAGAACACTGGAGTGGGTTGCCATTTCCTTCTCCAATGCATGAAAGTGAAAAGTGAAAGTGAAGTTGCTCAGTCTTGTTTGACTCCTAGCGATCCCATGGACTGCAGCCTACCAGGCTCCTCTGTCCATGGGATCTTCCAGGCAAGAAGAGTACTGGAGTGGGCTGCCATTGCCTTCTCCAATGCATGAAAGTGAAAAGTGAAAGTGAAGTTGCTCAGTCGTGTCTGACTCCTAGCAATCCCATGGGCTGCAGCCCACCAGGCTCCTCTGTCCATGGGATCTTCCAGACAAGAAGAATACTGGAGTGGGGTGCCATTGCCTTCTCCGATCATGCCAGTAAGTAATCCCAAATGGCAGTTTATCCCAGTGGACTTTAGGAATTGGGAAGGGGGCCACCTTTTCTGTGCATATAGGCTGGTAGTGGGTGGGAAGAAGATGACAAAAAATTTTCAATTTATTTTTTATTTTTGGCTGTACTGGGTCTTTGTTGCTGCACGAGGACTTTCTCCAGTTGTGGTGTGCAGGTCTCTTATTGCGGTGGCTTCTCTTATTGCAGAGCCTGGGTGTGTGAGCTCAGCAGTTCTGGCTCGCAGGTCCACTTGCCTTGTGGCACATGGAATCTTCCTGGACCAAGGATCAAACCCGTGTCTCCTGCATTGGCAGGTGGATTCCCAAACACTGGACCACCAGGGAAGCCCCAGAAGATGACAGATCTTATTCCCACTATTAACTCTTTCCTGGCTGGAGGGTTGGTGTGGTTTTTAAAGGAGGGTCTCTCCACGGCCTCTCTCTTTCCCTTACAGCCATGCCTTCTAGTCATCTGAATGGTGAAGGGCCTTCAACTAGTCCACTCTTCACATCTCAGCAAATGGGAGAGAAGATGGTTCTGAGCTTCATAGAGAGTGGAGTGGGAGTGGATACCGTTTTTTCAAGCCCATCAGTCATCCACTTCTCCTTCCTCTGGTGATAGAATCTTCTTTTCCCATGAGAAACCCATTCTAGGTGACTCTAACAAGAATGTTCTAATAAAATGCCCTTCTTCCTTCCCCCCTGGACAAGTGACCCAATATGGGCCAGTCAGAACATTCATTCATTCAGCTGTGATCCCCTAACAGAGATGACTAGAATCTAAGATTTTTTCATCTTTTAAAATATTTTTGAAAATTTTATTGAAATGTTGATTTGCAATTTGTTAGTTCAGGTGTATAGAGATTCAATTATATCTTTTCCCTTATAGGTTATTACAAAATACTGAATACAATCCCTGTGCTATGTAGTAGGTCTCTGTTGTTTGTTGTTTTAGACATAGTAGTGTGTATGTGTTAATTCCAACCCCCTAATTTATCCCTCCCCTTCCCCTTTGCTAATCACAAGTTCGTTTTCTGTCTGTGGTTCTATTTCTCCTTTGTAAATAAGTTCATTTGTATGACTTTTTTTAGAGTCCACATATAAGAGATATCATGTGATATTTGTCGTTCTCTGTCGGACTGACTTCACTTAGTATGATCATCTCTAGGTCCATCCATGTTGCTACAAATGGCAGCATGTCACCTTTTTTTTTTTTTAATGACTGAGTAGTATTCCACTGGGCTTCCCTGGTGACTTGGTGGTAAAGAATCTGCCCGCAATGCAGAAGAGCTGGTTTCGATCCCTGGCTTGGGAAGATCCCCTGGAGGAGCAAATGGCAAGCCAGTCCAGTATTCTTAACCTGGAGAATCCCATGGACTGACAAGCCTGGCAGGCTGCAGTCCATGGGGTCACACAGACTCTGACATGACTGAAGCGCCTAAGCAGTAGCAGCAGCCGCAGTATTCCATTGTGTATATATACCACATCTTCTTTATCTGTTTATCTGTTGATGAACACTTAGATTGTTTCCACATGTTGGCTATTGTTAATAGTTAGGCAGAGTTTTACTATTAACATGATCATAGCTGCTCCTGAAGTGCCAGGAAAAGCAGCTAGACAGGAAATTGAAACAAGCAGTGTAAATGTGAGAAATGAAAAGACAAAAGCGTCATCATTTGCAGATGATAAGATCCCCTACTTAGAAAGCCCAAGAGAATTTATAGAAAAATAGAACTCATTATCAGGTTCTTTGAGTTGGCAAACTATAAGCTATACACACTAGTTAAGATCTGATGAGGAAGCAACAAGTAAAATTAGATCCCTGTCTCACATCACACACTGCCATTCCAGGTGGAACAAAAATAATTTTCCATTATTTTTTAATGGAAGAAACTGATTGAATTTGACAAATGAATTAATCTGCTGCTAATGGGATTGATTTTGTTCTCCCTCCAGGGGACACTTGGCACAGGCTGGAGACATTTTTTTTGGTCCCAGCTGAGTCAGGGAGGGGGATGCCACTGGCATCTAGTGAGTAGAGGACAGAGAAGCTGCAAAATATCCCACAGAACATCTTCCCTCTCCCCCGGAACAAGGATTGCCCCGGGAACAAGGATTGCCCCGTTCCAAATACCGGTAGTGTTAAAGTGGAAAGACTGTGGTGTAACATGACACCTTAATGAGTTATCGGATTGCTTCTAATAGATTTCCAGTTACTTTTTGGATGTCCCAGGTATAGAATCATACTAACTGCAGATGATAAGGACACATCCTCCCAGTATTTATTCCTCTTATTTGGTTCTGTTTCGTAATTGCATTTAGCCAGCACTCTCAGAGGAGGATGAGATGGTTGGATGGCATCATTGACTCGATGGACATGAGTTTGAGTAAGCTTCAGGAGTTGGTGACGGACAGGGAAGCCTGGCGCGCTGCAGTCCATGGGGTTGCAAAGAATCGGACACGACTGAGCAACTGAACTGAGCACTCTCAGAACAATGTTTGCACCCAGGAACTGGACGGTACTTCTGTTTGGGAATGCCATCATTGGGTAAGATTCTACTTCCTACCACCAAGGACTTAAAGGCTAGATACTTGCTTTTCCTGAAACTGAGTGCCTAGTGTGCGGGTGTCTGCACTGAGACTCTATAAAGACCTCAGGAGGTTTCCCGAGTGGCTCAGTGGTAAAGAATCCACCTGCTTGGCTGTGCTTCTCCTCCCATTGTTTCCTTGGGTTTTGACCCATTTTCTAAACTTGGAAGTTTAGCTTTCTCATCCTCTCTGTCAGCTGCCCAGTGTCCTGTGAATGAACCCCCTTTTTGCTTAAGTTAACCTGAATTGGTTTCCTTCACAACCAAGAATCCTACAGTGAGAATGTTAAATAGTAATTGTGATTGCTTGCTTAGTCACTCAGTCGTATCTGACTCTTTGTGACCCCATGGACTGTACCCCGCCAGGCTCCTCTGTCCATGGGATTCTCCAGGCAAAAATCCTGGAGTGGGTTGACCTGCCCTCTTCCAGGGGATCTTCCCAACTCAAGGTTCGGACCCAGGTCTCCCGCGTTACAGGCAGATTCTTTATCATCTGAGCCACCAGGGGAGCCCAAGAATACTGGAGTGGGTAACCTAACCCTTCTCCAGAGGATCTTCCTGACCCAGAAACGGAACCAGGGTTTCCTACATTGCAGGCAGATTCTTTACCAATTGAGCTACCAGGGAAGCCCATTCACTGTGATACTGAGCTAATTGCCTAGTTTCTGACTTAGTTGGAAATAGTCTGTACACATTCTTTAATCTATTTGTAAAACACACATTGAAATTCATGCATTCACTCCTTTATTTCTAGTTCCAACCCAATACCAGTTGGGTCATTCTGGTTTTCTGCCTTCCCATATGTGTAAATCCCTTTTCTGAGAAAGGGAAACCAGTTCTCCATTATCCATCATGTGTTTACTTACTTGATTCGTCCCCCTCCCTTTTTTTAGCAGCCACACAACATGGCACACAGACCCTTACTCCCTGACCAGAGATTGAACCGAAGCCCCCCAGCATGGAAGCTCGGAGTTCTAACCACTGGACCTCCAGTAAATTCCCTAGGTTAGTTTCTCTTGAGTGTAACTTGTTCCCTGTCTCAACCACCATTCATTCCCAGTTTGCTGGTGGACACACAGGGCCTTCACCACTGGACCACAAGGGATGTCCCCAACTTTTCATTCTTTTTTAAAATTTATTTTGAATTGGAGGATAATTGCTTAAGAATGTTGTATTGGTTTCTGCCAATCTTCTGCGCACTGTGTGATTGTACAGACCTTGGAGTCTATGCCCCTGGTTTTCATTTTCTGTGTGCCAAGGACTGTATTTTATGCTCATAAGTATATTTCATTTTTAATTGTCACTATTTTCTCTCTGAGCATTTCTAGTTCTGTTTTGATTTTGTTGTCTTATCATTTTGCTTTTTATTGTTGTTTAGTCACTAAGTCAAGTCTGACTCTTTGCAGCCCCATGCACTGTACCCCACCAGGCTCCTCTGTCCATGGGATTTCCCAGGTAAGAATACTGAAGTGGGCTGCCTCATTGCTTGTATCTAAAAATAAAACTTTCTTTAATTTCCAGTAAGTGGGAAGCTGCAAAAGTCTACCATTTTTGTTTGAAAAGGTTAATCAATTAAAATACTCTACAATTTTTTTCATGCTACATTCCTTTTATATTTTATTATTTGTAAAATATGGAGGGAGGGTGGGGGAGGGACGAATGGGGAGTTTGGGATTAGCAGATGCAAACTATTCAATATAGGATAGATGAATGACAATGTTGTACTGTATAGTACTGGGAACAATATTCAATATCCCATGATAAACCATAATGGAAACGAATAGGAAACATATATATAAATGTATATGTGTGTGTATATATATATATATATATATATATCTGAGTCACTTTGCTGTACAATAGAAATTAACACAACATTGTAAATCAACTATACTTCAATAAAATAAAATTTTATTTTTCGAAAAGCGTGTTGGACTTCCATGGTGGTCCAGTGGCTAAGACTCCGTGGTCCCAGTGCCAGGGGCTCAGGTTCAATCCCTGGTCAGGGAACTAGATCCCACATGCACAACTAAAGATCCCAAGCGCAGCAGCTAAGATCTGGAGCAGCCAAATAAATAAATATATATATTTTTTAATGTGTTGGAAGAAACTGGAGATCTTGGTCTCCTTGAATTTACCAGTCGAGCTTGCTGAGTGCACATCGTCCAGCAGGGGGCAGGCTTGGACTTTGTCTTCGTGCCTCACCGCGAGCAAATTCCCTCCTGAGAAAGGAAGTTAGAAAGTAAGCCTCTGGCTGGAGGGATTTTTGTTAGATGAGTCAGTGCATCTATTTTTCCAGGAGATGCAAAATTAAGTCCCCACGGTAGTAGAGCAGATATAAAAATGACTGCAGGAGGCCTGGGGTAGGAAAGACAGCAGGGCAGGTGTAATGACCAATGGTACCTGAACTTTGGCCTCTGTGCAGGGGAAACCATAGCACTTGCTGGGAGAATGTGGCAGAATAAAGGCGGACAGCTCTTAGCCCAGCTGATGTCTAACACGTGGGAATGCCAGAAAGTCAAGATTTTCAAGAGAAGTTAGCCATTCAGAGTGTTGCTAGATGTGTCCAGATATTAAACTGTGACAGATAAATTTCAAATGTTTTAAAAACAATATGTCAATCCTGAATATTCATTGGAAGGACTGATGCTGAAGCTCCAATACTTTGGCGACCTGATGCGAAGAGCTGAATCACTGGAAAAGACCCTCATGTTGAGAAAGACTGAGGGCAGGACAAGGGGGCAACAGAGGATGAGATGGTTGGATGGCCTCACCAAGCGTCACAACTGATGCAGCCAAATAAATAAGTGTTAAGAAAATCCTGTTTGTAAACTCAATGCAATTTATGATCTAGATTTTTGTGTGTGTGTGAGTAGCCCTGGATTTGGAGAATGCAGTGGCAACCCACTCCAGTGTTCTTGCTTGGAGAATCCCAGGGATGGCAGAGCCTGGTGGACTGCCATTTATGGGGTCACACAGAGTCGGACACGACTGAAGCGACTTAGCAGCAGCAGCAGCCCTGGATTCACTGTCCTTATGTATCATGGGCTTTCAGTTATATTAAATAGTGAAATAGTGAATACTTTCACCTGAGGTCAAGGAAAAGACAAGGATATCCTTCCCAACCACTTCTACTCAACATTGTAATGAAATTGCTAGAGGGTGCAATGAAACATGAAAAGAATAAAAGGCATCGTGATTGGAAAGGGAGAAGTAAAACCTCATTGTTTCCAATGATGAGATAATGTACAGAGAAAACAAAATATACAAGCAAACTATTGGAATTAGTATGTAATTTAACAGAGTAGCTTATCCAAATCAGCATATAGAAATAATTGTGGAGAAGGCGAGGGTGGGATGTTTCAAGAGAACAGCATCGAAACATGTATATTATCTAGGGTGAAACAGATCACCAGCCCAGGTTGGATGCATGAGACAAGTGCTCGGACCTGGTGCACTGGGGAGAACCAGAGGGATCGGGCGGAGAGGGAGGTGGGAGTGGGGATCAGGATGGGGAACACATGTAAANAACCCACTACAATATTAAAAAAAAAAAGAAAACTATTCTGTGATGCTGTGAAAAAAAAAAAGAAATAACTTGTATGTCCATATTAGCAATAGCAGAAAATTAAAGTACAATGCTTTAAAAAAAAAAACCCATAAAACTCCACAGTGTTTCTAAAAGTAAAATTAGTAAAAGTTTCAAGACCTCTACACTGAAAACTGGAAAATATTGCAGAGAGAAATTAAAGAAGCACTAAATAGGAGAGATATCATATTCAGGAATTAGAATATTCAATATTTTTTAAAAGTCAATACTTCCTCAAGCCAGGACCATAGGTACTGAGGGCTTGTCTCTCCTGGACCCATCTCAGTGTTGAGGAGAGGAGTCAGTTCTTCATTTCCGTTACCGTGCTTTTGATTTCTGGCATTTCATTTTGATTCTGTCTTAGAGCTTCCATCTCTCTGCGACAATCCTGTCTGTTTTTGCATGTTGCCTACTTTTCTTTTAGAACCTTTAATATAGTTGTTGAGTTGCTAAGTCGTGTCCGACTCTTTTGCGACCCCGCGAACTGTAGCCCGCTAGGCTCCTCTGCCCTTGGGATTTGCCAGGCAAGAATTCCAGAGTGTGTTGCCCTTGCTTCTCTCGAGGATGTTCCCTACCCAGGGATGAGTCTCTCGCATTGGCAGGCGGATTCTTTACCACTGAGCCACGAGCGATGTCCCTTAACGCAGTAATCATAGCTATTTTAAACCCCCCGTGTGATAATTCCAACATCTGGGTCGTGTCAGAGTCTTGTTATGATTCTTGGTTTGTCTCCTTAGACTGTAGTAGTGGTGCTATTGTAATGGACAATTTTTCAGAGCAGTTTTGGATTCATAGCAAAACTGAGCAGAAAGTGAAGAGAAAGATCTCAGCTGTAACTTCCTGGATATTCCAGTGTGTCTAGATTTTAGGATGATGCCTTGCTCTGTGATCTCTAAGAAAAGTAATTGATCACCCAGTTTTTTCACATTTTTCTCATTGTAAGAATAGAAGTGACAACTTCTAAGTAATTTGAACATTAGGACTGAAATCAGAAGTCTCTTGCTATGTTATTTTTGTTCTTTGTGTGTGTGTGGAATATTTTTTATTTTTGTTGGAGGCTGGACCTTGCCCATCTGCACATTGAGAACATGGTTTCCCTAAACTTTGTTGTTGTTTGGTCACCCAGTAATGTTTGACTTTCTGTAAACCCAGGGACTGCGTCATGCCAGGCTTCCCTGTCCCTCATCATCTCCTGGAGCTTGCTCAAATTCATGTCCATTGAGTTGGTGATGCCATCCAACCATATCGTCCTCTGTCGTCCTCTTCTCCTCCTGCCTTCAATCTTTCCCAGCATCAGGGTCTTTTTCAATGTGTTGGCTCTTTGCATCAGGTGGCCAAAGTATTGGAGCTTCCGCTTCAGCATCAGTCCTTCCAATGAATATTCAGGATTGATTGCCTTTAGGATGGACTGGTTTGATCTCCTTGCAGCCCAAGTTATTCTCAAGAGTCTTCTCCAGCACCACAGTTGGAAAGCATCAATTCTTCAGTGCTCAGATTTCTTATGATCCAACTCTCACATCCATACATGACTACTGCCTCTTGAAAAAGGAACTAAAAAACTTGGTAAACTTAACCTTTGAAATATGTTGAAAGTGCTAAGTTCACTATGTCCAGCAGGAGGAGCTCTTGAGCTTCAGTTTCTTCCCCTTTCTCAAGGTGTGATCAACTGCTGCTAAATCCAGGTAGAGAAACACTGCAGCTTGTAAGATTTTTCTTGGTAGTTTCAGGGCCTCCCTGCTCAATCTCCTACATGGATTAGGCAGTTATGGTAAATGAGTGAAGTAGAAATGTGTAAGAAGGACAACTGGGCACGTGTTCTGACAAATGGTACCTGGATTTGGTTTTAGCATTTATCATAACAAGGACATTAATTTCATCGTGGAGCTTCTACCCTCATGAAATTAAAAGATGCTTGCTCCTTGGAGGAAAAGCAATGACAAACCTAGGCATCTTATTAAAAAGCAGAGACATCACTTTGCTGACATAGGTCCCGATAGTCAAAGATACAGTTTTTCCAGTAGTCATGTACAGATATGAGAGTTGGACCATAAAGAAGGCTGAGCACTGAAGAATTGATACTTTCCAATAGTGGTGCTGGAGAAGACTCTTGAGAGTTCCTTGGACTGCAAGGAGATCAAACCAGTCAATTTTAAAGGAAATCAGCCCTGAATATTCATTGGAAGGATTGATGCTGAAGCTAAAGCTCCAATACCTTGGCCACCTGATGTAAAGAGCCGACTCATTGGAAAAGACCCTGATGCTGGGAAAGAGCCAGGGCAGGAGAAGAAGGGGGCAACAGAGGATGAGATGGTTGGATGGCATCACTGACTCAATGGACATGAGTTTGAGAAAACTGCGGAAGACAGTGAAAAACAGGGAGGCCTGATGTGCTGCAGTCCATGGAGCCACAAAGAGTGGCACACGACTTAGTGACTGAACAACAACAGATAATAAAAAGAAAGAACACTGTGCACACTCTCTCTCAATCCCCTATGGGAAGACACAGTGAGACGGTGGCTGTCTGCAAGCCAGGAAAAGCCTTCTCACCAGGGAGCTGAATCGGCCAGCTGCTTGATCTTGGACTTTTCAGCCTCCAGGACTGTGAGAAATAAATTCCTTTTGTTTAAGCCTCCCAGATTTGGTATTTCATTATGGCATCCTGAACTGACTAAGACACTGGTCCTTATTTCTTTCTACAGCAGGTTTTGGTCATTTTTATTGTATATTAATGGGCATCAGAGAAGGACTAGCCAAAAAGCATGAACATATGTCAGCAGGTTTCCCAGAAGTCCATGGAAGGGTTGTGAGCTGCAACATTGAAGGCAAGTCTTGTGGGGAGGTGTGGGGCAGTCTGGGGTGCTGAGGCTGAGTAGGTGCAGGAGTGCGCGGGCCTGGCAGTGAGGGGCAAGGCTGTGTTAGGCACATCCGAGATCATTCCAGCTCCAGTTGACCTGATGGAGAAAACAAAACAAAGCAGAGTGTTGACTTGCTTAACCTGAAGATCTCTGAAGTATATGCGCTTTGGGCTTCCTGAGGGCTCAGCGGGTAAAGATAACCACCTGCAATGCAGGAGACACAGAAGACTCAGGTTTAACCCCTGGGTCAGGAAGATCCTCTGGAGAAGGCAGTGGCAACCCATTGGAGTATTCTTTTTTTCCTTTTAAAAATCTATTTAAAATAAATGAAATTTATTTATTTTTAACTAAAGGATGATTGCTTTACATTATTGGTTTCATTTCTGCCATACATCAACATGAGTTAGCCATAGGTGTACGTATGTCTCCTCCTTTTGAACCTCCCTCCCACCTCCCACCCCTTCCCACCCCTCTAGGTTGTTACAGAGTCCCAGTTTGAGTTCCCTGAGTCACAGAGCGAATTTCCATTGGCAATCTATTTTACACATGTTAGTGTATATGCATCCATGCCACTCTCTGCAATTCCATAAATGTGTCTGTGTCCATCAATCTGTTCTCTATTTCTGCATCTCCAGTGCTGCTCTGTGAATAGATTCATCAGTACCATCCTTCTAGATCCCATATATATGTGTTAATATATGATATTTGTTTTCATCTGTCTGACTTACTTCGCTCTGTATCACAGGCTCTAGGTTCATCCACCTCATAAGAACTGACTCAAATGCCTTCCTTTTCATGAGCGAGTAGTATTCCATGGTGTATATGTAGTTTTTTGTTTAAAAAATCCCCTGCACAGAGGAACCTGGGGGGCTGTTGTCCAAAGGGGTGAATACAACTGAGTGACTAAATGCACACACACATGCCATGGCTTCAGACACTGAGGGCTTTGGAACTTGGTCAATGTCACCAAACTCCTTAAAAAAATAATAATAACGGGGGGTGGGCTTCCGTGGTGGTCCAGTGGTTGAGAATTCACCTTGCAATGCAAGGCACACAGGTTCGATCTCTGGTTTGGGAAGATCCCACATGAGGAGAAGCAACTAAGCCCATGTGCCAGCACTGCTGAGCCCCGACGCCAGAGCCTGTGCTGAATTACGGGAGAGAAGCCAGGGCAGTGAGGAGCCCGCACACCGCGGTGAAGAGGCCCTGCGCTCGCCACAACCAGAGGAAGTCCTTGTGCAGCAACGAAGACCCACCATGGCCAACAAATAAACAGATCTTTTTTTTTTCTCCTAAAGAGCATAGGGAAATATATAATATGTTAAAAAGAAGTCGTTAACCCTGTAGCTTTGCTGGCCTTGTTCTCAGACAGGCTCTCCCCACATACTCAGCTCTGAGGACCTCCGATCCAGACTCTTCCTTCCCTAGAGATGTTGGCGACTGAGCAGCACCCTGTGGGGCCTTCCTGGGAGAGACCCTCACCCACACCCTCTGCTCTAGCCCCTCTCTGAAGTACCCAGACAGCAGGATCTCATCCGTGCGTGCGTTGAGTGCTAAGTCATTCCGTCGCGTCCGACTCATGGCGACCCGATAGACTGTAGCCCGCCAGGCTCCTCTGTCCATGGGATTCTCCAGGCGCTACTGGACTGGGTTGCCATTTTCCCCTCCATGGTGTCTTCCCGGGTTTTTTCAGATACTAAAAACCACCACCAAAGGGAAGAAATTAACTACTTGAAGATTAGGAGCAAGTAGGCCCCAGACCTTCTGACACCTAAGTATTGATCACCATCAACCGATCAGAGAATTGTGCACGAGCTGATCACATACCCTGGGCAACCTTCCTTCACTTGGCCTTTAAAAATGCTTTGCTGAAACCCTTTGTGGATTTCAGGGGGTTTTTGAGCACAAGCCACCTATCTCCTTCTATGACCCTGCAGTAAACCTTTTTCCCTTCAAACTCCGACACTTGACTGTTCCTCAGACAGGCAAACTTGTTTTCAGTAACAAGGTTACAGGAAAATTTCCTCTTCTGTCAAAATCATGGTCCTTCTTTCTACAGGTTGTGGCTTCTAGATGCAACTTCCTTCCAGATGAAAACTGATCTTATCTGTGTTCCCGCCTCTGACAGATGAATCAGAGCGTGGGGTAAGATAATGACATAATCACAGGGTGTTCCAGAACTGCGTCCTTGGGCTCTCTAATCAAAAGAAATTGATGAGAGGCCTGAGAAGAAATTCAGGGCAGGCTTTATTGAGACTCCGAGGTGGGGCGAGCTGGTCCCTTAAATGGGATGGGGGTGGGTGGATCAGTGGGTGGGGCCAGAGGCATGGTTTGGGTGGTCTGCCCAGGCCCTCAGGGGTGCTGTGTGAAGGGATCAGGCCCAGTACCCTGTTTTTGCTCCCTACACTGCAGAAGGGGCAGTTAGGTTTTGGTCTTTTTGTACCTTATTGCTCATAATTAGCACCAACTGCAGATGCGTGGAGTTATTTTCAGTCCCTTATAGTTTCTTTGTATTTTGTCACTCTGGGAGACATTTGTCCAGGTACAAGCGCTGCCATAAAGGGTCCTGGGTCCCAGTCTGTCTCAAGGGCAGGATCTTGACCTTCCAGCCTAGCGATGCTTCTGCCCTCCTTGCTAATGACCGGGTACCCTGAAGGTGGGCGAGGTGGGGTGTGGGGCTGGCCCTGCTCTGGTCTCTGTCCCCTAGACAGAGCCTGGAAGTGTGCAGAAGCTCTGTATCCCCAAAGTCTTAATTGAATGAACAAGTGCCAGTGCCAGGTTCTGTCCTAAGCATGTGACAGACATGAACTCATTTAATCGGCATTTCTGCTAGTATCTCTGTTTTTCAGATGCGCAAACTGAGGCACAGAGTGGCGAAGTAATTCTGGGAAAGTTGAACAGGTGGCAGGTGAAGTGGCAGATGTCTGGGTTCCCAACCGGACACTCTATGCCCTCAGCTTCTGCATTCCAAACACCGGGCTGCTCAGGTCTGCTTTAACCGTCAACAGCAGGACCAGAATTTGAGCCTGCCCGGGACTAGGGCACTGATGGGAATGGTGCGAACTATTGTGGTTCAAACCATGGTGCGAACTCCAAGGGGTCAGGAGGCTCCAGGCTCGCGGCGGGGACCGTATCTCAGGGGATCTAGACACACTTGTCCCTGAGATCTCAGCGTCTCTCCTGAGTCGGGGGCAGCCCTCCATCTCCTGGATGCTCAGCCTGGGCTCCTCCCCACACCTGATCATGAATTTGCCTCTGGACGTCTCAGGGGCTCTGATCCCCGGGGAGCTAGCCAGGTGACCCTCCACCCCACCCCGTGTAGGAAGCGCAGTACACGGGGAAAGCGCGGGCAGCGGTGGGGCCCTGGGAGTCTCCAGCCTCATGTTTTAGGCTCACAGTTTGCAGGTACAAATGAGAGAGATGGGGAAACGAGATTTCTCAGACATCCCCCGCCCCCGGTCTGTGGTACCCAACTTCCCCTTCTATGGATCTTAAGAGCTCTTTCTCTCCGTCACCCTCTGGCTTCCTGTTGGGGCTTCCTCGTTCCCTCCCCACATTCGGGGCGCTTCCCTCCCCAGCAGAGGGACCCGAAGCGGCTCTGTGCTGGCGGATGCCGACATGGTGCCCCTGCTGCTGCTGCTGCCCCTGCTGTGGGGGGGTGAGTGGGCCGTGGGGAGAGCGGGTCCCAGGCTGGGGCTGGGGATGGGGCTGGAGCTGAGCCTCTGTGTTCCCCCAGGGCCCCTGCAGAAGGAGTCACTATACCAGCTGCAAGNGTCCCTCACTCCTCAGCCCCCAAGCTCTTGACCTGTCCTCCTGTCTCCCCAATGTCTCGCATCCATGGACTATTACTTTTACCTGCTCCCTTTCCTTTTATTCTGTTTAAAATTTTAGTTTTAACTGTGAGAAAACACACACGATCAAAGTTACCATCTTCACTACTTTTAAGGGTAGCTCTCAGTAGGGTGAGGTCCACTGACTGTCTTATGCCACCCATCCACAGAGCTCTTCCCAATTGGCAGAACCGAAATGCCAAACCCATCAGACACCGCCCCCTCCCCCTTCAGCCCCTGGCCACCAGCTTTCCACTTTTAGTGTCTGTGATTTGGACTACTCTAGCTTCCGCTTTTATTTTAAAAAAAAGTTTCTGTCTGTCATCACCTCCTATGATAGGAACCCTCCTTCAGCTCTGATGTCATCATATTTCAGAGGGACTCATGTTCCCATTGCCCACAGCTCTACCCTGGACCCCATTCCAACCTCTCTTTACCTTCCTGGGTGGACTCCTCCCATCCCGAGTCTCCACTTGCGGTCGTGGCCCCATCCTGACCCACCCTGTCCTGTCCCTACTCTGTACATCCAGAGACGTTCTTCATGTTTAGCCACCTCTTGCTGATGCCTGTCAACTGCACCCTGTGCCGCCATTAACCGGGCTGTGGCTGGACAGCCCTCTACCCATCTCCCTTTCTCACCGGCTGCACCCATGACTCAGGGACTCTGCAGAGCTTCACTGCTCAAATCACTTCCCCCTTTCCATGCCCTTGGCCCCAGAGCCAGCTGCAGGCTTGTCCTGGACCCTGGGCCACTGATCAGCCTCCTCCCTCAGCCTCCCGGCCTCCAGGCTCATCTCCAGTCCAGGCCCCACTCGGCCCCAGCGGCGTCCTGTGAGAGTCGGCGCCCAACGCCGAAGCTTCCCCTCCTCACTGGCTGCTACTGCTTGCCCGTCACCTTGGAGCAAAGCTCAGCGCTCTCGCTCTCGGGCCTGCTGTCCGGGCTCCAGCACATCTGCCCCTCCCTTCTCTCTCCCACTCTTGTCGTGTCTCTGTTGCTCCGGGTCCTCTCTGCCACGATGCAGGCACACGTGTCTTTCTCCCCATCTTCTGGGCTGTCTCTCTCTTGGCACATCTTCCTGTGAGCTTCCCACCCACTTCGCTCCCTTCCATCCTCAGACCAGCTCCCATTTCTCCGGAAGGCTGACAGGACCACCAGGACTGTTGACTCATCGGCCCCAGTGAGCTCGTCCTTGGTGCTTGTCTCAGGGCCCGTCTTTCTGCATCAGGAAGGGGGCGGAGCGAGGGTGAGACAGCCCTTGGCTCCACCCACTCATCTGAGCATCTCTCACCCAGATCTGAATGGCACATCACTGCCCATCCTGGAGGGCCAGTTCCTGCGCCTGGTCTGTGTGGCCGACAGCAACCCCCCTGCCAGGCTGAGCTGGCTCTGGGAGGGGAAACCCCTGAGCCCGTCCCAGCGCTCAGACCCCGGGGTCCTGGAGATACCCCGCGTGGGGGTCGGGGATGGAGGAGAAGTCACCTGCCGAGCTCAGCACCCGCTGGGCTCCCAGCAAGTTTCCTTCAGCCTCTCTGTGCAGAGTGAGTTGCAGGACAGGTGCTGGGGGCGGGCAGCCGGGGCAGGTGTGTGCCTTTGGGAGGGCTGGGTCTGGGGACTGAGCTTCACCCCCTCTCCCTTCCCCAGAAGGCCCCCCTTCCTGCAGCTGTGAGACTGAGGAGCCGCAGGGCTCCTGGCCCCTGGTCGTCACCCTGATCAGAGGGGCCCTCATGGGGGCTGGCTTCCTCCTCACCTATGGGCTCACCTGGACCTACTACACCAGGTGAGCTCACCTGTCCCCCTGAGGGGAAGTCCTGGGAATGGCCTGGAGTTGTTGGCAGGGTTGGGCGGTCCTGTCTTGCCTGGAGCTAAAGTGTGTGACTCTCCAGGGGCTTCCGAGTCGGTCCAGTGGTTCAGCCTGTGAGTTTCCACTGCAGGGGGCAGGGGCTCGATCCCGGGTTGGGGAACTAAGATCCCACATGCCATGAGGCAGAGCCCAGAATGAATGAAATGGGTCTGACTCTCTGACCTGAGACCGTGTTGGCTCTGTAGGTGTGCTGGCCACTCGGGTGCTGGGTTGAGGGGTGTGGCCGCGCCTCGCTCCCTGTCATGAGGAGATTCACCTGAGAATGCAGAGCCCAGAGGACAGATGTGGGGACATCACTGTCTGCTTCTCCCTGGAAACCCTCCAGTGAAACCCTGTGTTATTTGCATCCATGGGCTTTTATTTGTGGTGATGACTGCATGATAACAGGAAGCGTCAACTCCATTGAAAGGAGACTTTCTGACTCACCTCACTTAGTATGAGATTATCCATGTTCTTATATCAATAACTCAATGTTGGTTTTGCTATGGTTTTTGTCTTGAAAGTGGTATTTTATGTATGACTATTCCTCCAGTTATGTATGAACCCTAAAATACGATGACATTGTATTTGTTTCCTTGTTTTGGCTCTTTCAACATATCGTTGATATGAATGTTGTGATGAAAATAGGAAGGCTAGCAAGTTTTCCTGGTGGGTATGAAACTGCATATATTTAGTTCTAGAAGGTACCCTCAAAGGGTTCTCTTGAGTGGTCAAGTGAATTTCCATCCCCCCATCATATTTGAGGGTTCTGAGCTGTCTGTATCTTCAGCATCACTTATATTACCAGCAGACTCAGTTTTCAGTCTTGCCTTCCACTGTGGCAGTGTCTCCATACCTTTTTATTTCCTTTATGTGTGATATTGAGCTATTTTAATATCTTCTTTGGTGAAATTCCTGTTTGAGTTTTTGCCCATTTAAAAATAAAAACTGGGCAATCTTTTTCTTATTGAGTTCTTTGTTCTTGGTATGATTTTTATTTTTAAATTAAAGTATAATTGATGTATAATGTTGTGTTCATGTCATAGTATAGCAAAGTGATACATTATATATGTATATCTCTCTCAGATTCATTTCCACTGTAAGTTATTACAAGATCCTGAGTAGAGTTCCTTGTGCTATACAGGTGGTCTTTGTTGGTTATCTATTTTATACACAGATGTGTGTACATGTCAATCCCAATCTCCCAGTTTATCCCTCCTTCTTTTAAAAGTGTTCATTCTCTAAGAAACAAAGATGTAAACATATATCCAAATAAGTATGAAATCAATATTCATTCTCACAACTTGTTCCTGGGAGTGTCTCAAATGTATTATGTTTATGGCCATATTTAGGAAATCCACTACAATATTGTAAAGTAATTAGCCTCCAATTAAAATAAATAAATTTAAAAAAAAAGGAAATCTTCATGAAATTTGTCCCCTAAAGAACAGTAAGGTTACAGGTTGTTTCCACACGTGGCTCGAGCCCTTCCCGTGGCTTTGAAAACAATCTGTCGTTGTTCAGATTCTCAGTCATGTCCGACTCTTGGCGACCTCATGGACTGCAGCAGGCAGGGCTTCTTGTCATTCACTAGCTCCTGCAGACTGCTCAAACTCACATCCATTGAGTCGGCGATGCCATCCAACCATCTCGTCCTGTCTTCCCTTTCTCCTCCAGCCTTCTATCTTTCCCAGCATCAAGGTCTTTTTCAGCATCTGGGTCTTTTCCAGTGAGTCGGCTCTTCACATCAGGTGGCCAAGGTATTGGAGCTTCAGCTTTAGCATCATTCCTTCCATGACTATTCAGGGTTGATTTCTTTTGGGATTGCCTGGTTGGATCTCCTTGCTGTCCAAGGGACTCTCAACAGTCTTCTCCAATGGTACAGTTTGAAAGCATCAATTCTTCTGCACTCACCCTTCTTAATGGTGAAGAAAGACTGAGGGGTCCTGAATTGTGTTTCAGGTAAGGTCTAGCCCAGGGTCTCCAACTATGGGGCAAGGGTCTCCCTTCACCCACTCCATTTTTCATGGTCTTTTGGCCCACAGCTAGTCCCACAGACCCTGAGATCCAGGAAGACCCACAGCCCCATTTGCCATGTTATGAAAACCCTTCAGGGCAAAGGAGCTTTTCACCTTCAGCTTTCTTGCCTGGCTTCCACCCTCCACCGCATTTGGGTCAGGAAGCTTGTTTTCTGCCCCAAGTGGAACATATTTGAGAAAATTTTCAGTATCTTTTCTGGAAAGTCCAGTTTTTCTGCTGTAGGGTGGGTGGCTCCAAATGAATCTGACCTCATTTCTCTTTTCTCGTTGCGCTGCGGGCTGGGCGACCCACGGTGGACGCGAACATCATTGGGAAGGCGATCATGTCAGAGCCACGTGCTGGGAAGCCTCTGGGACTCTGGGGGCCCCACGATCACCCACTGCAGTGTAGGGGGGAATGGGGAGGCGGTGGGGGGTGGGGGATGGCATGACGTTCCAGCCCCCACCCAAACCCCAGAGCCTTTAGCTTCCGAGTTTCCCTTCTGTTCTGGCAGCAACTGACTTCCCGTTGGGGCTTCCTGGTTCCCACCCCGCATTCAGGGCACTACCTTCCGCCACAGAGAGACTTGGACCCCGGGGGACGCGAACATGGTGCCCCTGCTGCTCCTGCTGCCCCTGCTATGGGGGGGTGAGTGGCCGCANCCACCAGGGAAACCCTACATCCAGTTTCTGGAGCCTCTGGAGGCTGGTCGCCCCACAAAGCTGACCTGCACCGTGTCACTGGAATCTGGTGGGGGACACCCTCTCCTGTTCTCCTGGGTGGGGGAGGCAGTTGACATCATGGACCCAGGGACCCTCCACTCCTCGGAGCTCACCCTCACCCCGAGGCCCCAGGACCACGGCTCCAACCTCACCTGTCAGGTGACACTCCAAGGATCTCAGGGGACCCTGGAGAGAACCGTGCGGCTCAATGTCTCCTGTGAGTGTGGAGGGGCGGCAGGGTCCCTGGGGGCGGTGTTGGCAGGAGGTGGGTGGTGTCCCTGCATCCCTTTCCAGACGAGATTGGGGCAATAAAGCCCCGTCCTCTCAGGTGGCTCCTAGGGTGGAGCACTGATGCCTCCCTGCCTCTCCCATTTTCCTCCCAGATGCTCCACAGTTGGTGATCACGAGAATATCTCAGGAAAGCTTCACAGGTAGGAAGGATGGTCTCCCCTCTGGGGCTGTGATGGGAGCAGGTCTCTGCCAGCTCAGGGCTCAGGGCTTGGAGATGAGACGGTCCCTCACTCCTCAGCCCCCAAGCTCTTGACCTGTCCTCCTGTCTCCCCAATGTCTCGCATCCATGGACTATTACTTTTACCTGCTCCCTTTCCTTTTATTCTGTTTAAAATTTTAGTTTTAACTGTGAGAAAACACACACGATCAAAGTTACCATCTTCACTACTTTTAAGGGTAGCTCTCAGTAGGGTGAGGTCCACTGACAGTCTGATGCCACCCATCCACAGAGCTCTTCCCAATTGGCAGAACCGAAATGCCAAACCCATCAGACACCGCCCCCTCCCCCTTCAGCCCCTGGCCACCAGCTTTCCACTTTTAGTGTCTGTGATTTGGACTACTCTAGCTTCCGCTTTTATTTTCAAAAAAAGTTTCTGTCTGTCATCACCTCCTATGATAGGAACCCTCCTTCAGCTCTGATGTCATCATATTTCAGAGGGACTCATGTTCCCATTGCCCACAGCTCTACCCTGGACCCCATTCCAACCTCTCTTTACCTTCCTGGGTGGACTCCTCCCATCCCGAGTCTCCACTTGCGGTCGTGGCCCCATCCTGACCCACCCTGTCCTGTCCCTACTCTGTACATCCAGAGACGTTCTTCATGTTTAGCCACCTCTTGCTGATGCCTGTCAACTGCACCCTGTGCCGCCATTAACCGGGCTGTGGCTGGACAGCCCTCTACCCATCTCCCTTTCTCACCGGCTGCACCCATGACTCAGGGACTCTGCAGAGCTTCACTGCTCAAATCACTTCCCCCTTTCCATGCCCTTGGCCCCAGAGCCAGCTGCAGGCTTGTCCTGGACCCTGGGCCACTGATCAGCCTCCTCCCTCAGCCTCCCGGCCTCCAGGCTCATCTCCAGTCCAGGCCCCACTCGGCCCCAGCGGCGTCCTGTGAGAGTCGGCGCCCAACGCCGAAGCTTCCCCTCCTCACTGGCTGCTACTGCTTGCCCGTCACCTTGGAGCAAAGCCCAGCGCTCTCACTCTCGGGCCTGCTGTCCGGGCTCCAGCACATCTGCCCCTCCCTTCTCTCTCCCACTCTTGTCGTGTCTCTGTTGCTCCGGGTCCTCTCTGCCACGATGCAGGCACACGTGTCTTTCTCCCCATCTTCCGGGCTGTCTCTCTCTTGGCACATCTTCCTGTGAGCTTCCCACCCACTTCGCTCCCTTCCATCCTCAGACCAGCTCCCATTTCTCCGGAAGGCTGACAGGACCACCAGGACTGTTGACTCATCGGCCCCAGTGAGCTCGTCCTTGGTGCTTGTCTCAGGGCCCGTCTTTCTGCATCAGGAAGGGGGCGGAGCGAGGGTGAGACAGCCCTTGGCTCCACCCACTCATCTGAGCATCTCTCACCCAGATCTGAATGGCACATCACTGCCCATCCTGGAGGGCCAGTTCCTGCGCCTGGTCTGTGTGGCCGACAGCAACCCCCCTGCCAGGCTGAGCTGGCTCTGGGAGGGGAAACCCCTGAGCCCGTCCCAGCGCTCAGACNCCCATCTCCAGCACAGGGGTCTTGGAGATACCCCGCGTGGGGGTCGGGGATGGAGGAGAAGTCACCTGCCGAGCTCAGCACCCGCTGGGCTCCCAGCAAGTTTCCTTCAGCCTCTCTGTGCAGAGTGAGTTGCAGGACAGGTGCTGGGGGCGGGCAGCCGGGGCAGGTGTGTGCCTTTGGGAGGGCTGGGTCTGGGGACTGAGCTTCACCCCCTCTCCCTTCCCCAGAAGGCCCCCCTTCCTGCAGCTGTGAGACTGAGGAGCCGCAGGGCTCCTGGCCCCTGGTCGTCACCCTGATCAGAGGGGCCCTCATGGGGGCTGGCTTCCTCCTCACCTATGGGCTCACCTGGACCTACTACACCAGGTGAGCTCACCTGTCCCCCTGTGGGGAAGTCCTGGGAACGGCTTGGAGTTGTCAGTGGGGCTGGGCGGTCCTGTCCTGCCTGGAGTTAAAGTGTGTGACTCTCCAGGGGCTTCCGAGTCTGTCCAGTGGTTCAGCCTCCGGGCTTCCACTGCAGGGGGTAGGGGCTCGATCCCGGGTTGGGGAACTAAGATCCCACATGCCATGAAGCAGAGCCCAGAATGAGTGAAATGGGTCTGACTCTCTGACCTGAGACCGCGTTGGCTCTGTAGGTGTGCTGGCCACTCGGGTGCTGGGCTGAGGGGTGTGGCCGCGCCTCGCTCCCTGTCATGAGGAGATTCACCTGAGGATGCAGAGCCCAGAGGACAGACGTGGGGACATCACTGTCTGCTTCTCCCTGGAAACTCTTACCTCCAACCCTGTGTCGTTTGCATCCACGAGCCTTTTTTTGTAGAGATGACTTGTGACAGTAGGAAGAGTCAAGACCATTGAAAGGAGACATTCTGACTTACCTCGCCTAGTATGAGGTTACTCATGGTTTTGCAAGTATCAATAATTCATTGTTGGTTTTGCTTGGTTTTTGTCTTGAAAATAGTATTTTACATATGACTATTCCTCAGTTATGTGTGGACTCTAAAATACGATGACATTGCATTTGTTTGCAAATTTTGGCTCATTCAAAGTAATGTTGATGTGAATGGTGCGATGAAAATAGGAGGGCTAGCACTTTTCTCCTGGTGGGTGTGGAACTGCTTCATCATAAAGTTGGCATATATTTAGTTCTAGAAGGTAGCCTGAGAGAGTTCTTTTGACTTGTTAGATGAGTTTACATCTCATGGTCATACATGAGGGCTCTGAGCTTTCTACACCCTCAGCAGCACTTGTATTACCTACATGCTCAGCTTTCAGCACTGCACTCCACTGTGGCAGTATCTCCTTGCCTTTTTAGTTTATTTCCCTCATGTGCAATGATGTTGAGCCATTTGAATATCTTCTTTAGTAAAATTCCTGTTTGGATCTTTGCCCACTGAAAAATAAAAATTGGGCAGTCTTTTTCTTATTAATTTGAGTTCTTTATTCTGGATGTGACTTTTTAAAAATTAAAATAGAATTGATTTATAATGTTGTGTGAGTTTCACAGCACAGCAAAGTGATTCGGTTATATAGGAATATTCTCCTCGGATTCCTTCCCATTATAGTTTTTTAAAAGATTGAGGGCATAGTTCCCTGGGCTGTACTGTTGGTCCTTGTTGGTTATCTATTTTAGATACAGTAGTGTGTATTTATTAATCCCAATCTCCCAATTGATCCTTCCTCTCTCTGAAGAAATTTTATGAAATTTATACCTTAAGAAAGTAACAAATGTAAACAGAGTATTTCTAAATAAATATTAAAGAAAGCTTTTTGTTTGTTTGTTTCCAGAACTAGTTAATGGGAGGGTGTGAAATGTTTAGGGGCACTGTCAAATTTAGGAAACCTTTATGAAATATCAATCCTAAAGAGCATCGAGATCACAGGTTATTTCCACACATGGCTTGAGCCTTCATGTGGCTTTGCAGTGTGAGGGGGCCTGAAGGCCATTCTTGTGAAGTCCAGGCTTCTGGGGTCCGCAGTGAGTGGGGCAAGGCTCTCACTTCAGCCACCTCATTTTGCGTGGGCCTGTGCCCAGGGGCTGGTCCGACAGACCCTCAGGTCCACAAGACCCGTAGGCCTGTGCCATGTTCTGAGAACCCTTCTGGGCAAAGGAGCTTTAATGCTCGAGTTTTCTTCCTGGGCACCATCCTCCACTGTTTTTGGGTCTGGGAACTTTTTTCCTGCCTGAAGTGCAATGGTTTTGAGAAAACTTTCAATATTCTTTTCCAGAACGTTCTGTGTTTTACAGCTGCAGGTGGGTCCCGCCGGATGACTGGAGCTGGACCCCGTTTCTCTTTTTCTGGTTGCGCTGCTCATGGGGCGATCCCATGGTGAACATGAACATCGTTCGGAAGGTGATCATGTCACATCTGGGCTTCCCTGGTATCTCGGTGGTAAAGAGTCAACCTGCAATGCAGAAGATGCGGGTTCAGTACCTAGCTTGGGAAGATCCCCTGGAGAAGGGAATGGCAACCCACTCCAGTATTCTTGCCTGGGAAATTCCTGGGTTGAGAAGCCCAGCAGGCTACAGTCCCTGGGGTCGCAGAGTCGGACACAACATGGTGAGTTAGCAACAACATTTCAGCGTCACATCTGGTGAAAACTCGCCAGCTCTGGGGACTTCGTGCTCTCCCCTGCAGCCTGCGGCAGGGCGGAGCGGGGAGGGGTTGGAGGGAGAACGTGAAACAGCGAGACTTCTCATCGAATCCCCCAGCCCCGCCTATGGAGTACACCTTCCCCTTCTTCACCAGCCAGTCTCCATCACCTGCTGCCTTCCTGGCTTCCTGCTGGGGCTTCCTCCTTCCTTCCCCACGTTCGGGGCACTTCCTCCCTGGCGGAGGCACCTGGACCTGGGCAGGAGGATGTGGATATGGCACCGCTGCTGCTGCACCCAGAGACTCCACTCCTTGCAGCTCACCCCCACCCCAAGACCCAGGACCACAGCACCGACCTCACCTGTTGGGTGAATCTCCAAGGATCTCAGGTGACCATGGAGAGAACCATCCAGCTCAATGTCTCCTGTGAGTGTGGAGGGGTGCCTGAGTCCCTGAGGGCAGTGGTGTGTCTGTGTGTGTGTAGGGAGAAGGCCAGCCTGCTCTTCCATGGGTCTGAGCCCTGGGAGCTGAGGTGGGGAGGGGCCGTGAAGGACACCACCCCCTTCCTGGTTTCCCTCCTGGGTGCTGGTCAGTTTGCACCCCACTCCTCCCTCTGCAGCGAGCCCATGTCTTTCTGCCCCAGATGCTCCAAGGAACGTCCGCATCAGCCTCTCCTTCAGAAATGTCACAGGTAGGACAGGACTTCTCCCCTCCAGGCCTGGGTCCTGTTCCTGGGACCACCTCCAAGGAGTGAGGTGTGGACTTGAGTGTGATCAGATATGGGAAGAGCAAGGAGACAATCACCACCCCGCCCCACCTCCATTCACTAGACCACACACATCTGCAATACACACAAAGACATATGCACAGATTTAATAGATCCTGGGAAGGCCGGAGGGTGAGACCTCAGCCTCCCCCAGCTCTCCCGCTGCGTTTTTCCCCAAAACCCTCGATTCTGCAGAACACCTCGTCCCTTCTCGTCTCAGAGAGCCAGGTGCCCCAGCTGCTCTGTGTTGCTGACAGCAACTCCCCTGCACAGCTGAGCTTGTGTCCAGGGTCTCCCTCCCTGGACGCTGCCCCCAACTCCAGCACTGAGATCCTGGAGATGCAGGGATTAGGACCTGCAGAAAGAGAGTTCATCTGGCGAGCTCAGAACCCTCTCTTCTCCCAGCACATTTCCAGAGGACAGACGTGGGGACATCACTGTCTGCTTCTCCCTGGAAATTCTTGACTCTAAATCTGTCTCATTTCTACCCAAAGGTTTTAACCTTTTAATTTGTGGAGGTGACTGTGTGATGCTCCAAAGAGTAAATTCCTTTGAAAAGAGACTTTTGTTACTTTCCTTTTCCAAGGATACATGGTGCCTCATCAGGGCAGGGCCCAGGGGACAGCACCAGGTTGTGCTCAAGGAGCAGGAGAGTGGGGGAAGCCTTTCTTTGAGTTTCCACTGGAGAGACAAGGCTTGTTGTTGCTGTTCAGTTGCTTAGTCATGTCCGACTCTTTGCAGGGCAGCAGGCCAGGCTTCCATGTCCTTCACAATCTCCCGCAGCTTGCTCAAACTCTTTTTCATTTAGCCATGATGCCATCCAACCATCTCATCCTCTCTTGTCCCCTTCTCCTCTGCCTTCAATTTTTCCAAGCAGCAGGGCCTTTTCTAATGAGTTGGCTCTTCACACCAGGTGGCCAAAGTATTGGAACTTCAGCTGCAGCATCATTCCTTCTGTTATGGGAAACACACTGATAGAAACCGCCCACCCTGGCCAGGCACCATAGTAACCATTTGCCTGAGTTGTTCTACGTCTGGAGGTCCTGGTAAGGAACAGGGAACTAATAAGCCTCCACCGACCAGAAGAGTTCAGGAAAGGTCAAATGGAGATACCACATGTCCGACCACCTCCCAGAATCCTTCTCTCTGGCATCCATCTTGGCTGAACAAGGCGTGCACTACCAGGAAGGACTCTGAGTCAGAATGATTGGCTAAAGACAACCCGGAAACTAACCCCATCACCATAAAACCCAAGACTGCGAGCCATGTGACAGAGCAGTTCTCCTGGGTTCCCATACCCTCCTGCTCTCCACCCGGGTGCCCTTTCCCGATAAAATCTGTTGCTTTTTCAGCACAGGTGTGTCCTCGGACAATTCATTTCTGAGTGTTAGACAAGAGCCCAGTTTCGGGCCCTGGAATGGGTCCCCTTCCTGCAACACTTCCAATGAATAGTCAGGATTGATTTCCTTTAGCATGGACTGGTTGGATCTCCTTGCAGTCCAGGGGACTTTCAAGAATCTTCTCCAACACCACAGTTCAAAAGCATCAGTTCTTTGGCACTCAGCTTTCTTTATAGGCCAGCTCTCACATTCATACATGACTACTGAAAAAACCATAGTTTTGACTATACAGAATTTTATCAACAAAGTAATGTCTCTGCTTTTCAATATGCTGTCTAGCTTTCGAAGAAAATATAGCTTTTCTTCCAAGGACCAGGCATGTTTTAATTTCATGGCTGCAGTCACCATCTGCAGTGATTTTAGAGCCCCCCAAATAAAGGCTGTCATTGTTTCCCCATCTATTTGCCTTGAAGCGATGGGACAAGATGCCTTGAATTTAGTTTTTTGAATGTTGGATTTTAAGCCAGCTTTTTCACTCTCCTATTTCACCTTCATGCAGAGGCTGTTTAGTTTCCTTCTCACTTTCCACCATAAGGGTGGTATCACCTGCATATCTGAGGTTATTGATATTTCTCCCAGCAATTTTGATTCCAGCTAGTGCTTTGTCCAGCCCATGATTTCTCATGATGTACTCTGCATAGAAGTTAAAAAAGCAAGGTGACAATATGCAGTCTTGATGTACTCCTTCCCCAATTTTGAATGAGTCTCTTGTTCCATGTCTGATTCTAACTGTTGCTTCTTGACCTGCAAACAGGTTATTCTTATCCCTTGAAGAATTTCCCACAGTTTGTTGTGATCCACACAGTCAGTAAAGAATCTGCCTGCAGTGCTGGAGACCTGGTTCAACTCCCGGGTCAGGAAGTTCCCCTGGAGAAGGGATAGACCACCCGCTCCAGTGTTCTTGGGCTTCCCTTGTGACTCAGCTGGTAAAGAGTCCACCTGCAATGGGGGAGACTGGGGTTTGATCCCTGGGTTGGGGAGGTCCCCTGAAGAAGGGCATGGCAGCTGACTTCCAGTATGCTTGCCTGGAGAACCCCCAAGGGCAGAGGAGCCTGGCGGGCTACAGTCCACGGGGTCGCAAAGTGTAGGACCTGACTGAGGGAATAAGCACAGCAGCACAGCTCTTCTTTCCTGGTGGGGATGGACGTGTTTTGCCATAAGGCCGGCATTGATTTAATTCTAGAAGGTAGCCTCCAAGAGTTGTCTTGCTCAGCCACGTGAATCTCCATCCCAGCATCATATATGCG